GCCACCAAGTGGTGCTTAATCTGTATGTATGTGTGATGTCACACACACACACGGAGTCAGTACACTCATTGGTATTTCTCATTAAGCTTCTATAGGTTCCTGAAAGCCAGGCTTCTTGTACGTATGCGTGTGCCTACGCACATGTGCATCCACATAGGGATGTACATGCATTTGAGTCCTTTGGAGGGGATGTCTCTCAAACTAAGTTCAGTCAGTCAGTCATTCAAGAAATATTTACTGCATGCACACTATGTCAGACACTCTCCTGAGGTACCGAGGGCATGCCAGAGAACAAATAAAATCCTTGCCCTCAGAGAGAGTTACAAGCACACTGTGTCAGCCCCAGGATCTACCCAACCAAACTTTGGCAAATTTACATTTCTCCAGAGAAATCATTTTGAAGAAAAGAAAGTTGCAAAGACTCTTGATCCCGCTGAAGAGTTTTCCAAGGCACCTTAATAAATCATTAATTATTTTAAGCCTGTAATATAAAGTACTCAACAATCTAATACAAGTTTACATGGACACAGAGCATATTTTCACAATTCACAAAGTATATTTCAATCTTTCCTGAGGGAATGGCATTTACTAAGGCACTTCAAAATATGTTTTACAAGGATAGAAGTTCACCAAAAATGGTTGTATCTATTTGTGTTACTCCAACCTTCATCTTGTCTATCTATTTCTCCTTTTTAAATCTATACCAACACGAATTTAGATTAACAGCTTCTCTGAAACAAAACCGTATCAGTTTCTTTAAAACTGTGCATTACTTAAACTAAAAGCAGAGATGCTCAGTTTAAATGTGCATTTATTGAATGCCTGCCGTGCATGACAAACGCAATCTGATTTCGTCCTCACGGCATTCAGTTCTATGTAGTTGTTATTATCTCTGTTTTACAGATAAGCGAACAGGCTCAGAGAGGTTAAATGGTGCATGTAACACACGTGACCCAGTGGGAAGCTGAGTATGCCAATTCACATAGAACACTTGAGTCCAAGTTTATTGAATTTCTTAACTCAATAAGCACACAAAAATGTAAAATTTATGAAATGGTAAGAACTCCCATAGATGATTTCCATCTCTTCTTAAAATCTGTGAAACTGTTAACTTCAGTGAGCTTTTTTAAAATTCACATAGATTTCAAACTGCTTTTCTAGTTGAAACGAAACAGTATAAAAATCCAATGGGCAACTCCTCAGCCTGACAGTCCTGTTATGATCCACAGATATGATATCAAGAATAACAATAATTATAACAGTAGGACTCTTTTCCCCTCAAAGGGAGAACATGTCTCCGGAAGCACTTTGACAAACAGAACACAAGGCTGCTGTTGTAGGAATGAAATTATGAGCAATGCCCATGACTGGCTGTCTCAGAAAACCACTGGCGAGTTCAGGTTGGAAGTCTTGCACATGCAAACAATAAGACTCATATGTCTACATAAACTCTTAATTCCATGCACTCTACTGGGGCCTTTATCGTATCTCAAGGTGAAGATGTCGTTTAACTAACATAGGATTCATTATAACTAGGAAGACTGTGAATCCAAATTGTGGACTTGGGTGCCTTAACATGCATAATGGAATTTTACACCATCTAATTTAAATTATATAATTGCCTAGAAATCTGCCTTTATTTTGTGCATTCCGGGTCCAGGCAATGTAATATGTACCTAAAATTACACATTTAATATACAGGAACTATCTTATCCAACTTTTAGAACAAAAGTGCACATAACACAAGAACAGCATTCTTTTTCCCTTAAAATTTAAAGTAAGTATTATTTTTGCTGAGATTTATTTTTCTACACTTTAAAGAGGAAAATTTGATTTTCAGTTTCTAGCTTGAAGCAGCATTTCATATCTAAAATGATATACTGCAGCCAATCTGTCCTGACAAGACCTCAAAAGAAGAATCTGGCAGCTACTGTAAGGTCAGTCGCACATCCCCTAGTTCTCAAGTGTTGCCACTAGAACTGTTAAAGAGCTTGACCAGCCTGTATTCATTCCAAGAAGTTAATCCAAATTAATCCAAGAACACCCACAACAAACAGCTCTCCTTAGAGGGCCTATTATGCTTGGGGCTTTGCATAACATTACTTTTAATTCCAAAAACGATTCTAATTTGCTGAATTTCAGTTTGTTGATGTTATCATTCCCATCCCACAGATGAGAACATTGAGGGCCAGGGAAATTAAAGGTATTGCCCAAAGGGCACAGTTATTAAATTAGAGGAGGAAGATATTTGCAAAGGTAACTTGGAAATTTGTAAACCCCAGGAGCTTTCTGGGCCAGTGGTCCTCAGCAGAATCCCAGTATACAATTACCTCCTCACAAATGCTACTCACTGGGCACCAACTTAGGCCCCGAAATAAATTCAGGAGGTAAATTTCCAGGTCTAGCATGGCCAAAATTCTTTCCTCAGTCCATGAACAAGTTGCCTAAAATGCTGTGCCAACTCTGACTGCCAAACCAAAGGAGATAAGCCCCAAGCTGGGCAATCTGTCCCTAACTGTAGAGCTGGTGAAGTGATGCACCAGCATGAAAAACGATGGCATCCTTAGATGCTCCATCATCTGCAGATTCGAAGAATGTGTCTAAGTGGAAGTGGGTAGAAGGACATATTTAACCCATAATTTTAGGCATTCATATTCATTTTTTCTCTCTCTCTCTTCCCACCCCTCTGCATCCCCATCCCATCTCTCCTCCTTCCCTCTCTCTCAGGAAAGTTTGCAGGTATGTGTCAGTGTGGAGAATACAGAGAGGAGGTAGTAATGTCAAGTGAGGAATGCACTTTGAGGTCTAACTGGAGTAGCAGTGAAGAAATTTTGATGTCAAAAGAAAAAGAAAGAAAAAAACCTCCACTGATGGGCAGAGCCAAACTGACTGCAAGGCTGGGTTTCCCACATGAAGCCCAGAGCTGAACAAGGCAGTAAAAACCATCAAAGTTTTTTTTTTTCTTTTTTCTCTTTTTTCAGTTGTGCAAAGTTGCAACTGAGCAGGAACTTCATAAAACTCGAGTCAATCAATCTCTTATCACAAGTGGTGACGTAACTGTAGTCATATAAAACAAAACAAGCAAGCCAACAAAAAAACTACAAGGAATTATAAGATATGCAGGAGGCTATAGGAAGCTCAGGGGACAAAAAATAACTCCGTATGATTATTTTCATAGGGTAGCACATTTATTGCCTGATCTGTGTCCCAAGGGGAAACATGTGCCCAGGAAAATAAATTAGAGAAGGGCTCAGCTGAAGGCTAGTTGAGTTAAGGAGTAATGGAAAGGATAAGGAGAGATGATGGGATTGAAAGAACAGACTCAGAGGCTTTTAGCAGGGTGTTCCCAGTTTCTATTATCACCTCTGTAATATAAATCTAACTCCACAGTTCTTTAATGACTCTCCAGGGACCACCACTCACCAGATTAAATGTGCCCAACACCCAGAAAGGACCCAGGAGACTGCTGCCTTTCATCTCCTTTGAGATATGCCATAGTCGTAGATCTCTCCCCCCGGCCCCCGCCCCGGCAAGAGTATCATTGCTAGGATTATCCAAACTCTGCTATTCAAAAAAAAAGAAAAAAAGACTAAGAAGACATACGGATGTTGGAGATGTGCTACCTTTGAGGTCCCGAGTGGCAGGAGTTTATTTCAAGCTCCCAGTACCTTCCTTGACCCTTCTAGATAAAAATGGCAGCTATGGGGACAGAAGTAGCCATGCCATGCATGACTGATTCCTGCCCAGTTTGGTCCCAAACTGACTTCCGTCTGCTGTTCGGATGTTTGTGTGAGCGACCTGTCTCATAGGGTTTGCCCATTAACCAAAGAGTTATAAGTTCTGTAGGCCTCAGTTTCCCTTTTTATTGGCATTAGATCTCGGAGCAGTCTTCTTTCTCTAAAGTTATATGAGTCTATGATTCTGATAGAAGGCCCCAGAGAGGAACACAGAAGCGTGAAAAGAAAGCATTCTTTTTCAAAAGAAAAGAAGAAAAGGCAGCTCTGTGACCCCAGCAGCTCTGGGGGAGGGAGGTGATGGAAACGGGTGATCCTACACGCCCTCAGGCTCTCTAAGCATTTTCAATCTCCTCCTATTTTTCTTTATTGGCCTCTTTCCCCCAAGACAAAGCTGGCACACGGGAAGCACTGTTGCTCAACCCACCTCTTCCTCAGCTGCTTTATCTAAGTTACAACAGGACGCGAGATTGCTGCCTTTTTCTCAAGAGCCCTGTCCTGGTGATGTTGGCAAGTTTTCTGGTAAAGCCCAAGCCAATTGCCCAAGGTATCTACAATCTATGTGTAGTCTCCCCGTTATCCAGAGAAGTGGTTAGTTAGCAGGGGTGGCGTTCAAGAGAAGTGAGTCCTCTTTCTCTCATTCTTAGCACTGGTGAGAATCTAGGTAATGTGAAGACCACACTGGAGCATGTGTATGCAAGACAGATGGGGGACAGTGCAGCCACCTCTCTCCACCACTTCCTCCCCCACATCCACTCTCCCTCCCTCCATCCACCCACTAGCAAGGAGCCATCCTTCATCTGCTTCCTTTATTATCATATTTTTGTGTTAATACATTCTGTTGATCTGCAATGTCAGGTTGGATAATGAAATTTAAATTGGGTCCCTTCGATTTCCAATGGCTAAATATTTGTGCATCTAACTCCTGGGCTGACATGCAACTTAAACGCATTCTAGAATGTCAATCACAGAGCACAGGCACCCCACACTGCAGCGGCTTTCTTGGGGAGATCTTTCTTTCCCTGGAGAACATTTGCAAAGGCATTTGCCCAGGATGCAGACAACCTGCATCATTATAACAAACCAGCTTATCCGTGAGCACAGCCTAATGGAGCAAATGCGTGGGCCACCTTCTCCCTGTTTCTGGCCCCCAGTAGCCAGGTCTTTAAAAATCACACTCGAGGGGGTGAGGAGACAAAGGGACCAGGAACGCTAAATTAATGGACAGTTTCTTCACCAATAAATAAGAAAATAAGGATCACTCACTGTATTTCAGACTGATCACAGCAACATCCAGATGGCAATCCAGGTGATTAAGAACAAGCAAAAACGCATGATCTTGACACCAAAAGGAAAAAAAAAAAAAAAGGAAAAAAAGAAGGTTGATGAAGAAAAATCCAACTGCAATTATCCGTCAATTCTAGTCAACATAGGCACAAATCCAACTGTGCTCTGCTGGTTTCTCTCCCCCAATCAATGCCTCATTCCGCCGCGGTTAACTTTTCTTCTCCGAAATTTCTTTGCAGATGTATTATTAATTTCCTCTCCTCTTGTGGGAAATTCAAAAAGAAAAGAAAACAGCAGCATATCAGGTCTTTACTTTCCTAAAAAAGCCCCAAACTTTTCATTGCAAAAATATCTCCTTGGCTCACTTTCTCCTTTAGAGAGAAAAATGAACATACTTTTTCTTTGTGGATCCTCGGTTCTCCATTTCCAATCATCCTTTGGGGGGAGGGGGGCAGCTGTCTGATTATTATTTATTTATGTCAGAACACACCAACCCCCGCGGGTCTGACACTGGTTTATTTCATTTTTCAACGCTCGCTGTGTGCACATATACACATTTGTGTTAAGATCCAGGTCTCAGAAGAAAAAGCTTCGTTCTTCCTTCTCTCTTGCACGATCAGTTTATCCACTGCGTTCGGTTCCAAGAGAGAGCTGCGTCCTGCATCCTTCATTTTTGCAAGGCACCCAACCGCCACTGCCACCAAAAAAAGTCTCCTTTTACATCGTCGATTCCTCTCCCTAGCCCCCCACCCCCCGTCACAGAATTTCGGGATCAACTCCCCCTACTCGCCACCCTTCCGGCCGGCCCCTTTTCCAAAGATCTGATTAGATTTCTCATCACAACCCAGTGCGCAATTGGATTTTTGATTTCAGCTACCCGGCCAGCCACGTTCCCCTCTCCCTCCAAACTCCCTGCTATATCCTGTCTCCTTCCCCACACCGCCTCTGCAATTTCATAATCTCACGTTAAATGGAGTGCGGGGGGCGGGGGCGGGGGTAGTGGAGGAAAATTTCAAGGCTCCGTCAGCTGTCAAGAAGAAACCCATTCCTCCCCCCGCTACTTTTTTCCTCTTTTTTTTCCTAAGGCTCAGGGTGGCTTTCGCTTCCTCTGTCCCCGCCCCCACCCCCGGCACCCAGTCCAGATCCTCCAGGTGTTGCAGGACTCGGCGATCAGGGCCGGGATCACGGGGGAGACGCGTGACGCGGTCCCTCGCTGGTGGCCCCTGCCAGCCCCCAGGTCCCCTTCTCCTCCATCAGCGGGCAGCGGATGCGGGGACGCCGCGGCGAAAGAAGTTCAAACTGGGCTTTTATTTTAAATGGGGAGGGCGAAGTGAGGGGACCGACCGGGTGGTAGGCAAATTAAAAAATAATAGCAATGAGGAAGAAAATAGAAAATGGAACAAGGAGATACCAAAAAAAAAAAAAAAAAAAATTCCTATTCGCTGGCTCCTCTCATCCTCCTCAAATGAAACTGCAGCTTTGATCTCATTTCCAGCTGCGTCGGGTACATTTTGGAGCCACAAGTTGGTTCCTCTCCGCGTAGATCTTCCCGACGGCGGCTGGTCCTCTGCGAGGAGACGCGTTCCCGGGAGCGCAGCTGCTCCGCGCCGTCCTTAGCGCCATCGCCCTGGCTCAGGGGTCCCTGCGCGGCAGAAACCCCGGTCCCCTTCCATCGACTTAGGCTTTAACTCTCTTCCTCCCCCTCCCGCTCCTCTCTCCCCTCCTTTCCCCTCCAATAAATAAATGCGCTCCGTGTGCCGGCAGCAGACCTTGGCAGGCTAAGCTTTCTCTCGGCTAATGCCACGTCCCGACGTTTGGGGTGCTGGCTCCAAAAATCTCCTCTCGGACTGCAGTCCCCTTTCCTCCTCTGCCCCTCTTTCTTTCCCCTATTCCTTTCCCTTTCTCTGCTTGTGATCAGTGAAATACAATTACCCAATTACCTCCCATCATCTTAGCACTGATTGGTCAATTGCATTAACACTTGAAGTCAGGGAAGAGGGGAGCGGAGCCTCTGCGGTGTGGTGTGGCACCGCTGCCACCTGGAGGGTAGAACCAGAACAGCTGAGTTTCAAAGCAGCCCCCACGCTCAGAGATTAGTAATAGGCAAAGAAACTCAGGGGTTGTGTGGGAGAAGTTGTCAATTTTTTCTAAAAGCTTGCCTGTTTTCCTCCTGAAAGCCAGGAGTTGGAACTACAAAGGGGAACACGTGGAAATCAAATCACCACTAGGATTCAAAATATCACCGAATACAGAAAGCTGCTGCTTTCAGATTGCTGGGCAAGAGCCTCTCCCCTCCCTAGTCAAGCACGCTGGTCACAAAGTAAGGATTAACACGGTGCTGTTACCTAGGATAGGCTGATAGAAAAAATCTAAGAGGAGCTGAAAAGCTGCTAAGGAGGGAGCCTGCGGTCCAGCAGGACCATCTCACTAGGAGGAAGCACTGAAAAGGAGAGATAGGAGCCTTCAGCCTATGCAGTGTAGCAGTAAATTGGCCTGTTCGGTTTGTACAAGACATCAGGACGGTTTGACAACTCAATTCCAACATTCCTCGCTCCTGGTTGTGGGCTTTTCCATCAACTCATGTTCCGGGGGGGGCGGGTTACACATTTCAGCTTCACTGGGTTTTCTTAGAAAGATGGAGGGGCCCATAAAATAATATTAGTAATATATTTATGTGAGTTTCTTTCTCCACTGTATAATTGTCATAAGGCCCTTTCTGTAAGCGATGGTTACTCATTTTATGTCATTCAGGTATGTGACCTGGAGATAGGAAATGGATAAAATGAGGAGTGATAATTCAAACAATAAAAGATTATATATGTTGGGGGAGAAAGGCAAATATATAATTCTCTGTTTTAAGCTGCATAATTAATCTGTGTGCTGACTTTCCTTACTTTTGGGATATCAGAATATGGACTTGGTTTAAAAACAATTTTACATAGGCTGTAGGCTACTCTATTCAAGCACAAGATATACTTGAGATTTGAGTTTTTATGTTACAAATCATAATAAAAAGCAGTATTTGACAAAAAAGGAGAAAGTTTTGACTAAGGGAACATAGAGGCATATTCAAGTTCACGCCAAACGTTCACTTCTTTTCCTTCCTGTTCTTTTTATAGTACATGGACATTTCCTAATCTAGAGTTAAAATTTTTTTAAAAAATTACATCTTTACATTTCTTTGGGTACTAAGCACATCCTTTAATATGTATTTCAGATGTCAGCACCTGCAAGAGGAAAGGTCCTTCCTTACACATGGATTGTGATTTATTATAATTTCTCCATTTGGGGGAGAGCTTTGATGTAGTTATGAATTGCATCAAAATGTGAACTTGTTGAGGGGTAATGCTATTGCTGCTATTTATAAATAAATGCTGTACTGATTGCTTCAGAACACTGGTAGGCAGTTGACTATAACTTTAATTGGTCTTTTGAAGCTCTTAGCCTTATATGCCAATTACAGTTTATCAACTAATAAACCATTAAAAAGTGCACTCACTAGCTGCTCTAGATAGCTTCAAAGGAGTCCACCCTCTGGTTCGGAAGCAAGCTAGAAGCCATTTGAAATGAAAATTTTCTTTTTAGGAACTTTGACAGCCAGGGAAAGGCCAATGATTTGTTTTTCAAAGCTGATTATTAGCTACCTACCAGACATCTTTAAAGCCTTTCAGAATGAATTAATCTATCAAACAAAGCAGCAGGGGAGGATCAGTGCTATTTAGCCAAAAGAAAAAAGGAAAGGCTTCCATTCTTGCTTACATTCCCATTCAGCAGCCACAATTTCTTTTCCCACATCAGCTACCCTTTCACACTGTACAACCTTGAATTAGTCATTTGGCTTTCTTTCCTGATTCAGACTCAGTGATTATTGGGCATCCATACGGCGTGGTCTTTTGCTGACTTCTCATATACACCACCTTATTTAAAACCTAAAAAACCCCCCTCAGAGATTTTAAAGATGGGGAGAGTGAAGCTAACATCACATATTTGGTAAATGACACAGACAAGTTTTGAATCCAGATCTACTCAATTCCAATTCTTCCAGGTTTGCTACAGGTCTCAGTTTGGAGAACGTGGAAAACCCATTTAAGACAGTTATGAGCATGCAGGCTGTCATTATCAGCCCTGAATCCCAGAGGTGAATTCCTAACCCAACGGAGGAATGGCATTGTTGCATTTGTCACTGAATGACCTTACTCAAAGAGAATTGTAATAAGTAAACAAGCTAACTCTCATACAAATAAACATGCAAACTAAATTGTTAAATAAAGACATAAATATAGATATTCATTCTGTAGAAGTTGCCAGGTACTGTCAACAATGGCAGGACATGTGTTCAAGTAAAGTTCTTTATGAAAACTCTTTTAGAGGAAATAATTGTCCGGTGAGTAACGGATTGGTCACATTGTCACACTTCCAGGTAGCCCATCTGGTTACCAAAAGGATGGACAGGACAAATGCTATTAAAATGAGATGACTTGGGACCAGAGGGGCACAGTGCTGACATGGCAGGTCTGTCTGGACACACAGGATGCTGTGTGTTTTCCTTTCCTGATTTGTAGACATTTGGGTGATGAAACAAAACTGTCATACTATTTCACTGTGTGCTGGTGACGCTACCTGGTGTAATCTTTAGCAAACAGCAGAGGACAGCATCTTGTTATCAAAAATACAAAATAGCAAATAGAATGAATTCAGTCACTTTGCTTAAAAATAGAGGAGATATGGGTGTGTCTATTGTGCTTATTAGTTTGATTTAACAGACTGTCAGATACTCTATTCAAGCACAATACATACTTAAGACTGGAGTCTTTTTTTTTTTAAAGATTTTATTTTTTCCTTTTTCTCCCCAAAGCCCCCCGGTACATAGTTGTATATTCTTCGTTGTGGGTCCTTCTAGTTGTGGCATGTGGGACGCTGCCTCAGCGTGGTTTGATGAGCAGTGCCATGTCCGTGCCCAGGATTTGAACCAACGAAACACTGGGCCGCCTGCAGCGGAGCGGGCGAACTTAGTCACTCGGCCACGGGGCCAGCCCCAGGACTGCAGTCTTTATGTTACAAACCCTTTTCACTTCCAATACTATTAAATAAGGACTAGAATATCCTGTGGGATAATCGTATCAAGCTTGCCTTTGTAGTTACACATGACATGTGAATTAACTTCCTGAGACCACTGTCTTTTGAAAACTATTTTAGTAACAAAATGCTGTATTTAGTGAGAACTTACTATGTGTTATGCTAGACAATATTCCAAGAATGTCGTATCTGAGAACCAGAAGCTATCCTAATAGTTATCTATCCTTTATTCCGTGAAATATAGATGAAGATACTAAAGTCCAAGTAGATTTGCCAATTTCTGTTTTTTTTAAAAGGATCTTCTCTGTAATGGCCACCCTCCTCCTGGCTTCCACTCCATATAGTCTAACTTTTCTGCACTCTCAGACTTTAAATTTTTTTAATAATAACTAGCACTTAACGATAGCTTATGAATTCCAAGCATAATTTTGAGCATGTTACACATGTCAACTCGTATGATCCTCTCAACAATTTTATGAAGTAGACATAATTACCATCCCATTTCATAGATAATAAAAACGGAGTTGAGATTACATAAGGGCACCCAGCTAGGAAATGACAGAGGCAAGATTTTTAATTCAGGTTATTTTGCTTCAGAGATCATAGTTGGAACAAATACTGATGCCAGCTCAACACAAGGTTGACATAAGGAAAGCCATATTGTAGAAAAGAAACCATACTGTAACTTTGAATAACCTCTGACTCACTAACTCAGCTGGATCTGCATCCTCCAGGAGATCTAACTGCTCTGTAGGTTTTATGACCCCCCTGCTTGTGCAGGTACCTCCCGGCTGTGATAAGACGATAACTTTGTTCTCTTGAGCTCCTTAGAAAGGTGATGACCCCTGGACAGATGGTCAGTCTGGTGTGGCCACTCCCAGTCTGTAACACCAGAGGGTCAACATTCCTAATCCCCTCCTCTGTAACCCACTGGCCTGTAACTTCTTCAAGATTCTGTGGCCCCCTTAAGGTGGTTCTTTTGGACATTAGTCGGCCATCTTCCCTCTTGCTAACAAGCTGTAATAAAATGCCCTTTCTCTGCCACCATCTTGCCTCTTGACAACTGGCTTTTGTCTTGCAGTGAGCAGATCGTGCCCTGTGTGCTATAACAATACTTCCTAGTGTTACTTGTTACACTGGATAGAAATTATTTTCTCATGTCTGTATTTTCCCCTAAACCATGACTAATTTCATGAGAGCATTTTTTGGGGGTATTTCTAATACAGTGCACATAGTTTAAGGAATAAATGTGCAAGATTATGAAATTAGGAAATGGAAGAACCTACATCTTTTGTCTCTTACTGAATATTCTTTTCACTGTGGTAAACAAAATTTTGGAAAGATGAGATACTGCAATTACTAAAAACAAAAACTAATAAAAGATACCACCAAATAATATAATTTACTCAGAGAATTATAACTTCTGTATCAGTTAGCTACTGCTACATAATAAACCATCTCAAAATTTGGTGGCTAAAAACAGCAATCATTTATTCTTTCTCAGGAAGCTATAGGTCAGCCAGAGATTAGTTAAGCAGCTCTTCTGATCTTGGCTGAGTTCACTACTGGCTGGTCTAGAATGGTCTCAGCTAGGGAGTATAGGGCAACTCACCTCTACTCCACATGTCTCTCTCCCTTTATCAGCTTGGCCTAAGCAAATTGCTTGCAATAGCAGAAGTCCAAGAGAGCAGCAGAAAGTCATGATTACTTTTTCAGGCTTCTATGCGAATCAAGTCTGCTAACTTCTCATTTGCTAAAGCAAATCACTTGTTTGAAACCATTGTCAAGCAATGGGACAGGTCATCCTGCCCACAATGGGAAGCCACTGTAGAGCTACATGACAAAAGAGAGAAAAGAATCAGGATGATCATTGCAATCAACCACAGATCTTCTCCTTAAAAATAACAGATGTCCTTAATGATTACTGGAGTTTACTGGAAAGAAAATTCTCCAAATAAAGGGTCATTTAATCCGTCACTTGCTTATTTCAACAGATGGATACTAAACTCCCATTATGTATCAGGTATTGTGGAAGTTATCGCTAACTCCTCTGCTGGCCCCACTTTCCTGATCACATCTGTTAATGTTAGTTCATGAACAGTTTACACATCTGCCCAATTCTTTTTACTATATCACTTTACAGAGATCACTCTCAAGTTCCTCTGTTGAGTCTTTCCTCTTATACATTAGATCCCCTCTCTAGTACCAGTTAGCTTCTGAAAAAGAAAAGCTGATGAAAAAGTTTAAATGAAGAAACAATAAAGGAAAAATATGTTCCATATGTACAATAATAAAAAACCACAATGCTGGGAAAACTATTTGCAATGCGTAGATCAAAGGATTCATAGTCTAAATACATAAATAGTTCTTAGAAATAGATTGCAGAAATAAAGGAGAAAAACACAAATAACCTTACAGATGAGTAGGGAAAAAATACATTATAGTCTATTTGCAAAAGAACTGGTTATTTTAACACTTATTGGTACCTACATTACTTAGCACAGTGCCTGTCCCTTTGTCATCGTAATACATTTTGAGTGAATGAATGAATGAACTATCTTCTTGGTTGAGGGAGGAAAGCGGGTAGATAGTAGGTACGCTGATTACAAGCAATGGGGATAGAATATGGTCAGAATTTTACCAGAAATAAGTCTAAATAGCTGAGGGAGCAGAAGAGGCAGTAGCTACCTCTATGGGGAGGCAGTTCCAGAGGATTTTACAAATAGGAAACCTAAATATGTTAAAAGCTTCATGAATGTTAGTGTACAGTTGGTGGACGCAGGATTGCACACTTTGTAGGCAGAGGACCGAGAACAAGGCGCTACCCCCAACATCCTCCTTTGTCCTTAGCCGAAGATGGGGTTTACGGTAATGGCTTCCACCATTTTAGTGAGTTATTCAGTTTCCCTGGGTTTCTCCCATGTATACATGTTATTAAATTTGTTTGATTTTCTCCTGTTATTCTGTCTCCTGTCAGTTTAATTCTTAGACTAGCCAGAAGAACCTAGAAGGTAGAGGAATAGTTCTCCTCCTCTATATTGGTCCAAAGATTAGCAGAGCTGATGCTTAGATAAATTACATACTAGTCATGGAAGATATGATCAGACTATTAGATGCCATGCAGAGATCAAGAGTGTCCAGATTTTGAAAGTAGTCTTCAAATGTCCTTCTAGTCTTTCTAGGAGGGTATGAATTGCAAACGATGTCTTGGAAGGAAGAGTATCAGTGAAGGGGAGTATCTCGAGGCAAGAGTCTTCCTTTCTCAGACCACACTAGGTGACATGACAAATTCTAGGAGTCACTTAAAATAATGACAAGAAAGCTGAAGGAAACAATTATAACAATTTGACAACCAATTCCGAACCAAATTAGATCCAATTACATTTTAGAAATCCTTCTTAAATGGTGACCCAAGCACTTGTAGAACATGATCTCCTCCATCAAATGTTTCTAAGAGAGGTGGTATTGGTGCATAGAAACTACAAGGTGGTATTTTGGTACAGTCTAAATTAGGATTCTTTGCACTGAGAAGAAAATTACCCGTAAAGGTATCTTTAAAACTCCACCAGGAATTAGTAGATGGTGTGAATCCAGTTGCGTAATTTGGGAAGACAGCTGCATTTTATCTAGCTAAATCAGCACTTGATACTAAACAACTCCTAAAGAATGTCTCTTTATTCCATCATTAGCCATGCAGTGCAGATTCAAGAAATGACAGCCCTGTTGTCCCCACCATATTACGATTGTGTTTTCAGGAAATGAAGTGCATGGATTTCAAAATTCAGTTCTCTTCGCATTGACGATGCATTAGCACATCTGTGATTCGAGGCCTCCAGCTGATTTAGTGGTTCATGATTCAAATAATGTTAAACAATCTGCATTTTTAAATGTCCAGGTTTCTCACATGCACAGCATTTTTGAGGGAAGCGAATGGCTGTCTAGGAGATGGTGCAGAGTTTTTTAAACCTAGCCTATTGTATTTACACAGAAAACGGAAACACCTTTATCTCGTATATCAAATAATTCTCCAAACACTGAAAATGAGCACATATAAAGGAATATTATTCAGAGTTGACTTTCAAAATGGGAAGCACTGGGAAACCTTTGATTCACTACACAGATACTTTTAACCCATCAACAACTGTATGACTTTTATAAGGCAAATGAAATATAAAATAAATATATCGGAGGCAAATGAAGACTGAGAGGTGTTTCGTGGAGTTGTAGTCTTATTGAACGGAATGGTCACTGGGTGATTGTTAAGCGATTGACTGTTTGACACTTTACTACAATCTCCAGCTAACAATCTTCCTGAAAAGGATTTCTATTAAAATTTTAAGAATTTTTATGAAAGTTCATATTTTCACCAGGATAACAATTATGCCCCCTTGCAGAGGACCCGAATGTCTATTTTTCCAAAGAAGACATACAAATGGCCAACAGGCACATGAAAAGATGCTCAATATCACTAAACATCAGAGAAATGCAAATCAAAACCACAAGGAGTTATCACCTCACATCTGTTAGAATGGCTGTTATCAAAAAGACAAGGGATAACAAGTGTTGGCCAGAGTGTGGAGACAAGTGAACCCTGAAGCTCTATTACTGAGAATGTAAATTGGTACAGCCACTACAGAAAACAGTATGGAGTTTCCTCAAAAAATTAAAAATAAAACTACCATATGATGTGGGAATTCCATTTTGGGGTATATATTCCAAGGAAATGAAATCAAGATCTTGAAGAAATATCTGCACCCCCA